ACCAGTTGTCACTCACTGCTTCAAACATGGACGCGCACAGCCCTCCTGCCCTCAGCGAGCGCTGGATTACCAACATGCAGCGCTGGAGCGGATGTAGCGGCAGCACACGCAGCCGCAGCAGCACTCCAGAGACAGTTGTATGGAAAGATGGGACCTCACGTCCCTCTAGTCTAAGCCAGGAAACCACTTTCTCTACTGCACCGGACTCTCCCATGTCCAAAACAACCACTCCACCAACCACACCCTCTCCCCTTGTCTCCCCCCTGCACACTCCAACTTTACCACCTGTAGATCTTTTAACTTCTTCTTATTCTTCTTCTTCACTACGAACACAGAAAGTCTTACTTGTGTCCTCGCCCACACGCTCTCCACTGCAGTCACCCCTGCCGACACCCCTGCCGACACCCCTGCAGGGTCTCTCCTCCTCACACTTGTCGTCCAATTCCCCCGACCTCCACCATCTCACCAGCACAGAGGAGGAGGTCTTCTTGCAGAATAACTTGCTTTCTTTTACATTCCCCTCCCCGAACCAGTCGTCTGTTAGCATAGTGGGAGGTGGTGTGTCATCAGATCCTGGATGCCTTGCTGATGATGAGGTGGAAGAGCTGCAGAGTCCTGGAGGCACACTGTTACCGGAGGCTGGAGATGTGATGACCCATGTGCAAATGTCTAACTACCTGACGCCTAATTCTCTAGCAGAGGGACAAGAATCAGGAAGAGGAGCCTCTGTTTGCCATCTTGAGCTGCCACGGCAGCCAGGGCAAAGTTGTCTGACAGGCCGAGGTTGGAGGACACCCCTGGTTTCTTCCTTGAGTGATTCTCAATTGGGTGACTGCTGCAGGTGCAACTTCAACACCAGAGCAGGCATCAAAAAGGTTGAGATGTTCAGGGAGAGGGGTACAATGACTTCACAGCTGGAACTAGTAGACGCAGCTGTACAGACAGTCTCTCCTGCCGGCTCCTTGTGGGGCCTCGGCATCTCCACCTCAAACATGGACTCCCACTCCGTCTTGGGCTCACCGCCTGGATCAAGACTGAACCTTAAGTCTTCATTGGGGTCAAACTCCAATCTGGTGTCCCCGTCCTCCAGCATGTTCCTGGCAAGCAGTGCGGGGGAGGAGGAGAGACAAGGAGACGACCCACCGTGGGACTCTGCCTCCTCCGATCTGGAGAGGAGGAGGTCGTGTCTGAAGATCCAAGGAGAGGAGAGGGTAAAGATGGGGAGGAGAGGAAGCATGAAGCAGGTGCAGTGGGACGAGGATGGGATGACATGGGACGTTCATGGAGCATCTGTGGACCCGGAGGTGCTGACCTCAGCAATACAGAAACATCTGGAGCTCCAGAGCAGCCCCCGACCAGCTAAACGTATCTCAAAGAAGAAGAAAGCACCAAAACCTCCTATCATATCGAGCGTGATAAAGGCCATGGCGCCAGAACTTAATCCGCCTGAGATGATAATCACGTCGACATGTATGGTGGAGGATGAGAGTGAGGGGACACCAGAGGCAGACACAGGGAGGGAGGTGGAGGAAGAAGGAGGAGCCAAAAGGGAGGAGGAAACAGTAGAAGCTATTTGTAGAAAAAGCAGAGCAGAGGGAGATAATGCAAAAGAAGAAGAGGAGGTATACAGAGAGGAAGGCACCAGCCATCCTAAGTCACCCTCGCAGGGGAGCGGACACTGCCGCAAGAAGAGTGTGATCAGGTCGCTGAGGAGGCCTGGGTGGTGTGGTGGCTCAAGAAAGGCAGCTGACTGATTCTGAAGACTAATCTGATGGATTTGTATTGATTGTATGATTGAATGAAGCTCAGAGAGACACTGGGAACAGTTCTCACTTTCATGTTGTTTTATCCTGCTGGTGTCCTGACTTCCTTTTCATTATCTGACATAAAAAGTGGAGATGCAATGTTATAAAACGTGTTCCTCCACTCATTAGGATCCACCATTTAGCAAGAGTATAAATTCTACTGGTGATGGAGGGCGACGTGATGTTTTGGGTTGATTCCTATCACCAAGAAAAATGTTGATGTTTTCAATAATTACCATACTCTGTGCAGCGAGTGCTTTGCTGACTTTACCGGTAAATTAGTAAGGCAACTAACAAGTAATACGTTTGTTAATGTAAATGTTCAATAAAACGATATTTTGTCTTTGTATATCTCTTGCTATAAAGAAATGTGTTTTGTTTTCAGAAGGCAGTTGAAAAACTATTATTATGAATACAAATTTGGAGTACTTGTACTTCCCTTGAGTATAGAGTTGGGACAATAAAACAACAACAATAATTATCACAATATAGTTTTCTTGAAATGACAATATAACAAATGTTCAATAAGTGTTCAATAAATGTTTGACTTAATTAATTTGAATCACAAACAAATTAGCACTTAATTTTGTCTTTAAAAATATTTATTTTGTTGAGGTCAAATACTTTGATGGTCAAATTCAGTTTCTCACTATTTAGTGTAAACTCAGAGGCACTCATCCAGGGGACCAGACTAGAATGCAAGAGCTCTGATTCAATCCAACTCCTTTCAAAGGACTTCGGACCACAAGGCTTTCTGGGGAGGGGTAACTGTGTAGTCTCTCACAGTTTGTCATGGCTGACTTCTTTTCTAGTCTACAGTTCCCCGGATGTCGCTGAGTTAAAACTGAATTTGAAAAATGAATTCTGAGCTGAATTTGAAATAACGCTCACAAGCTGAAAGCAAGACAACTTAAATTCAATTTCAGTCTGTGAAATAAATTTTTTTTATATTTCAAATTCAAAACTTTAAAATTCAGATTCAATTTGTGCTGGCACTAAAATAATTCCATAGCTGCCTCTACCAGGACGGACAGACATGCAATAGATGTTGTGTGTACAGAACAGACACACAGCAGAACACACACACATATATATATATATATATATATACAGTTATGATGGCAAAATGTTGAGTGTAAAACATAAGTGAAGAGGATAGCAAATAAAAAGTTTGTCATAAATCTTTGAACCTATTTGAACCTGAGACGATAGATTCTTCTGGACATAAGAAAAAAGCCCAGGCAGGATCTCCGACTGTTTACAACTGACAAATGAGGGAAGTGCAATGGAAGCACATTTCAGGATTTACTACAAATACAGTATTTACACAGATAATAACACAGGAGGTGGCTCAGTTTAAATACTACGTTTAAGAGTAAACACTTACTCAAAAATATGCGGCTGAGCCACTAAACTCTCCGTCCCTCTACTCTCACACTCACTCAACTCATTCAGTGTGGAAAACATACACAACATTGAGTTATATGTAAACTTGGTGAACCACAGTGGTGAGGTTTGACCATTCAGGCGCTGCCATTCAGATGAGCGGGCACATTCTCTCTCATTCACCACAGAAAAAAAGCTCATCTCACTAGTGGCTTCTACTGCAGTTATTGTTGTCATATTTTCACAGATGTGTGTAGAGCGAGCGGGAGGTTCTCTGTTGGCTTCTTTTCGGGTCTTAAAGGGTCAATGCATCCAAATTACATAACTATTTTTTCCACTGACCTCTTGTAATATCTAGCCAAGCACATAGTTTTAGTTTCATTTGTTCTGGCTTTCAGACCTCTGCCTCGACTGCAACACACTGGTGGCAAACTGAATTTAATTAACAAAATCAGTGTAGGCTACCTGTCTGTACACAGTCCGCAAATACGCTTTAAACAATTTTGACCTTTTCTTCTTTAGTGAGTAGTTCCACAGACAACTGTCAACTGTAAAGTTGTTGAAAAACAGATTATAAAGAATAATAAAAATTTGCATGAACCAAATATAGCCCAACTAATGCTGAATTTCTGAGGCTGATCCCAATATCAATATTTAAGAGTTTGAAAAACAATTTAGTAACTATATCTAAATATAACATAAAAACACATTTGATAGGGATTTGTTTGTTTGTTTTTACAATTGTGACCTAGATGTGTATTTAATGAGCTTCGTAGAGATTCCGCAGCCAGGCTAGCGTCTTTGTGAAAGCTTTTATCATGATATGTCAGCATACTAACATGCTCACAGTAATAATGCAAACATGCTGATGCTAGGCAGGTATTATTTTGATCATGTTCACCATCTTAATTTAACATGGTAGCACTAAAAATAAAGTAGAGCTGAAGTTGATGAAAATGTCATTAGTTTTACAGGTATTTGATCATAAACCAAAGTATTGGACAAATTAAAATTTTCACCTGAGATGAAAAGTCAGAGGATATCCAGAGTCATGGGGATACATCCCGAGGGGGAAATGAATATCTGTGTCAAATTGGTCAGTCCATCCAATGGTTGTGGAGACATTTCTCTTAAAATTACAAATGTAAACTTTGTGGTGGCACTAGAGAAAAAGTCTGTGTGTCACCAAAGTCACTAGAATTCATCCTCTGAGGATCATGAATGTCTGTACAAATTTTGAGCCAATACATCAAATAGTTTTGATATTTCATTCTGGATAAAAGTAGTGGACCAACCAAAAGTCCAACTTTGCCATCCAGAGTATCATGCTGCTAACGTGGCTAGAAGTATGAATATCCATCTGTAGGTGTAGGTAAAGGTAAACACATGGGTAACAACATGTTTTCCACTGAGTCATGTTTACACAGGATGAACTATCGTGAGGATTTGGGATATCAGAGATAAAGGTCACTTTCAGGTCACTATGTCACTTCAATAAGTCATGTGACATGAAGTTTGTTTGTGTACAGTGCGGCATTGCCTTTGTCCAGTGTGCATGCTGGTGTACTGTGAGCATACTACAGTATATGTATGTGAAAGTGCTGATAGGACTCCCCGAAATCCCCTTTTTCTCAGAGGCAGTGGAAACTCACAGCTGCAGGAGAACAATCCAGCGCTCGGCTTTTGTTGTGATACAGCTCATTGTCCCCGGAGGTGTGCTGCTGTGTGTGTATACTGTATGTGTACCTGTATATGTACATCAGCGTGTGCTTGCTGCCTGGTATAAATAGCGTGGGATGTGTACTGGACGGTGATTCTGTGAAAGACGATGGCTGTACCAGGACCTCCTCTGCTCCTACTTCTGTCTCTGCTGCTGCCGCTGCTGTTGAGCAAGGCATCTTTGCCTGCAGCTGCATACACACTCATCCCCGGACGACAGCCACAGCACAAGCTCCTCCACCTGGGTGAGGGCGAACAGAAACACGCACTTCAAAACACTTTAGCAATAAACACGGAGGCTCCTGTTAAAACATAGTTTCAGGGTTTTTTAAATTTCTGTTTATTGGAAACGCTAGTTTTTGTGTGGTGTCTCTCTCCTCCTAGACTGGCCTAAGGATTGTGGTATGGCTCACTTCAAGCCGAACATGGCTGAGAGGATTGTGTCAGGGAACGAAGCCAGACCTCACTCCTGGCCCTGGCAGGTCTCTCTGCAGGTAAATCTGTCTTTGTAAGGAGGACACCAAAGGACACCAAGGACACCAAATAATAGAATTCATGAAAATGTTACATACAGATCTCCACCTGGACAAGGGTCTGGACCAAATTCTTATTTCTTCTGGGGCTGCAGCTATCAGTTGTGTTTTCAATTAAGTGTATAAAATATAGGGGGAAATGCCCATTACAGGTTCCCAAAGCCCAAGTTGGTGTCTTCAAATTACTTTTTTTCTCTGGCAAACCAAAGATAGTCAAATAAAATTGAGGTAAAATAGACAAAATCTGCAAATGTTCACATTTTAGAAGTAGGAGCTAGTGCATGTTTGGCATTTTTTATGTTTCTGTGAGAAATATAAGGACAATTAAAATGACTACCTCTGAGCTGGCCATTAAAATAATCTCACATCACTCAGGAGGCTGTCTGTCTGTCTCTTACAGGTTCGTCCCAGGGGAAGTAAACATTACATTCACGTCTGTGGAGGAACTCTCATCCACAAGAACTGGATCCTTACTGCTGCTCACTGCTTCCAAAAGTAAGAAACACATCCATCCAACACAGAAAAAGAAACACAGAGTAGCAGATTTAGTGATGTTTCAATAGATTATTATAAGTAGTGAAAAAAAGAAAACACCACAAAGGCCTTATAGCTGTTTTTCTGGTCTCTCAGGGGTAAAGCTGAGGATGCTGGGAGCTGGAGGATTGTCTTGGGGAAGCACCAGCTGAAGCGCTCAGAGAAGGCAGAGAGGGTTTTCCCCGTGAAGAGAATCTACCGGCACGAGAACTTCCGTTACCCAGCTCACAGTGAGCTGGACTACGATATCGCCCTGGTGAAAGCGGGCACAGACATCATCCCTTCAAACTTCATCCGCTACGCCTGCCTGCCGCGCAAGCAGACCAGCCTCAACCCGGGACACTACTGCTGGGTCACAGGCTGGGGAGACACCCGGGGTGAGTGGAGAAAAGGGGATATTAAAGAGAGAGGGGAAAAGCTGTGGAAAAAGTCATTATATCCAATGGTCTGTACTTTGAGCTAAATGCTAACATTATAGAAGCTGAGAAAGGCCATCACCATTTGAATCCTATAGGCGACTTTAACCATGACTTAATATGCTGAAACATGAATACTTACTTACTAAATATACTTTCCACTAAATTTATATCAAAACTATAATTAATATTAAAATAAATTAATTACATTACATTTATTCATTTAACGCTTTTATCAAAAGCGACTAACAATTGCTAAGTATGTCAGAGGTCGCTCGCCTCTGGAGCAACTAGGGGTTAAGTGTCTTGCTCAGAGACACATTGGTAGAAGGGTCACAGGGAGGTTTTAATTAATATAAAATGATATTAAAATATTTTACTTTGAAAACCATCTTTCTGAATGTATGCAGCTTCAGCTCACCTCTATTTAAAATACACTTCAGAAAAGTTCATTTCCTTAAGTTTCTCAAATTGTCGCTCATATTGGACTGGTGAAATTCAGACACTAAAATTCAAACTTTAACATCAATGCTCCAGAGGACACTTGAAATCAACCCTCGGTAAATGTTAAACAAAGGAATTAAAATAAATTCATATAGATAATTTGCAAAGTAAAAAGTTTATATGCTATCAATATCAGTGTCGGTTAAGTTCTCAGTTTCTTTTATTATTCAAATTATGGCGTTTCTTTGCTTCCATATAACATCACCAAGCTAGCATGCTCACAATAATAATGCTAACATGCTGATTTTCAGCGGGTATAATGTTCACTATGTTCACTGGCTTAGCGTCTTAGCATGCCAACATTTGCTAATTAGTACTTAACAGAAAGGTTTATATCCTTAACTACAGAGTTTTTTTTAAAGATAAATGTTTTAAACAAGCAGGAAATCCATTAGTGTATTTTATTTGAAGATGTCTTAATGTGCTGGTTTTTATAGTGTTCTGTTACTGTCACATATGTGTATATGTGAAATGGTAGATGTCTTAGTTATATTGTTGACATTCTGTCTGTAATATCAAACTAGCGGTAATGCTGCCTTTCTTGGCCGGGGTGGCCTTGAAATGGAGATTTTATCTCAATGGGTTAGATAAGGGTTATTAAAAAAATTAAATATCATTAGTTTGCAATCAATAAATCAAAGTATTTGACATTAGTTTTGACATGATGAAGGATCGAGGGGAAATTCAGGGGATCACCAGTCAGTAGGATGCATCCTCTGGGAACCGTGCTTGTCTGTACAAAATATGCCCATTTGTCCAATAGTGGAGATATTTCAGTCTGGACCAAAGTGATGGACCAACATTACCAAAAGTAAGAGAGAAGTACAAATAAAATTTAAATTGCTTAAATGTTTTTCTTAAACGCATGTTAGGTGGAAAGGAGAATGTGTCTCTGGCAGAATCCCTGAATCAAGCTCGTCTGCCAATCATTGACTTCAAGACCTGCCGGCAGAAGAAATTCTGGGGTGATCGTGTCCGAGACTCCATGATCTGTGCTGGATTCAGGGACAAGGAGGACCCACCTGCTGCATGCCAGGTAGGACTGCGATTTACAGACCTGGTTGGAGGTAGAAATGAGAATGAATTTGAAAAAAATATCGTCATGTAAATTTCACACCCATCTTTCTGTTTCTTCTCCCAGGGCGACTCTGGTGGTCCTCTGCTGTGCCAGCTGGGGCAGGACCGCTGGGAGGTGCACGGCGTGGTGAGCTTCGGCCCTATTGGCTGCACCGTGGAAAACAAACCCAGCGTTTTCACCCGCACCGCCGCCTACATCCCCTGGATTGAGGCGACACGCATCAGGGACTTCTTCCTGCACTAAGCGGGCCACCTGACTCAGCTCTGACAGCAAACATAAGCTCTGCCCTGTTTTATGTCTGATTGTCTACAGATGACTACAAACTGTTTTTCCTAAATCGCCACAGTGCATTCATGTTCCACTGACACGTTCACCATTTGTGGAACTTTAAACCACTTCAAGATGTAAATACATGTTCTGAAAGTGCAATAATTATTTTCTAACACACCACATTTTGCAGTCTACACTATGCAATACTCTGGTTTTGAAAAGCACAAAGTTGTGACAGAGCACTGCATGGTATATGCTACTCATGACCTTTTACATCCAGTCTACATTTGCACAATAAAATTGGTTAAAAGCAAAATCTTTGTCAACATTTCCCATTTTATTAGTATAGATTTTTTTATACAGCGGGTTTATGGAGCCACATAAAAAGCACTTCCAGTTCAGTTTTAGTTATTTCTTTTTGCACAGTAAAACAGAAAGCACTGCAGACACGCTTCAATAAATAAAAGAGTGGAGCTGACTGTAGTTCTGTTTTTGCAGATCGTAGTTGAAAATCTCTTTGCTCTTCTACGACAGAAGAGTCTTTTAGTCCAAAGTCAGAACATGAATCCACTGCCATTCATCTGGTGCGCCCCACTCACACACACCAGATTTCACCTTACAAATTGGCCAATTTAAACCAAATTTCATGGGTTCATTGATTTCAAAACTAGCATCAAAGAAGACAAATAAGTCTCCCATAAACAATGAAATAACAACTGACACACCTCTATATGGCATCCTCATGTCACTGACCATCAGATCAGTGACAAATAGGATAGGAGGATAAAGACAAATGAAGAGGGGGTGTGATAGGACAGTCAACATCTGGATTTCCAGTGGAGTTTAGTCCGCATTTTCACATCTTCATTTTGAAACGCATCTTTTAATTCCCAGAATACTCCTGGAAAGGACAGTGGCTATGTTTAGGAACCAGTGAACTGGGACCAACTCATACTCCCATGAAAGGCACACTGCATTTGACCAGAGTCTAATTCCTCTTAGCGCTGTGGTTAAAGGCTGTGTCCTGGAGAGATATTTGGCCCTAATGTGGGAGCAGATGTGTATGGTAGAGGTCAGTACAGCCTGGAGGATGATGACGAGGTGCCGGTGATGTGGTCCCAGTTGTTGTAGAGAGCGTAAGCACCAGACAAGGCTAAACCAGCCAGACCTCCTCGGGCTACACCTTTTAGGCCACCTGACGACACATAGTAATAACAAAATGAGTGATGAAGCTGTGTAAACATAAAATAAACATGCATCACAACCATCTGTCAAACAGAAACTTGAGGAAATAATTATCAAGGGCTCAACACAGTACTTCAGACAGGGTAAACTTATTCAAGAATAAGAATGAGCTCTTTATGCTGAAGCAGTTGTTTACTAGCACTAAAATTTTTAGACAATTAATGAGTGAGTCCATTGACAAAAATTTTAGTTTTTCTGTACTTCTACTTAAGTATAACTTTGAAAATTAACTTTTACACAGTATTTTTTTGTGGTAGCCCATTGTTTCCTTTACTTAAGCACTTCTTCCACCACTGATCATATGTAAAACGTTTCACAAACATGATCAAATTATTGACTGAATAACAACCATTTGACCTACTGTCAGTTTTTTAAAGTTCTGCTTCACCCTGTTTGCCCTTGGGTTAAGGAAACAGATCCCAGGTCTGTGGAGGTGTCGTAAAGTCATGGGACTGACTAACTTATCAGTGCGGCTTTGTTTCCTTTGATAAAGTTTTTGATCATCAATTTGTGGTTTAAGGCGTTTATTAAGCAAAAAAGGCTAATCACTGGTTTCAGATACTCAAATGCAAGGATTTGCTGCTTTTCTCCATTTTATATTGCTGTAACTTGAAAATCTTTGGAAATTAGTAGGGCTGACCTGGCATAGTCGAAGATTCGATGCTTCGATAGGGTGAGCCTGATTCTACTGTCAGTCAAAGCTTCGCAGTGAAACAAGGATCATGCCATTTTGGCGATATGGGGGTGCTCAACGTCTAATTTTACATAGAACTACCAATTTTCTCCCAATAAGTTAATATACAGCCCATTACAATATACATATCAACGTTTAAAGCTGTAAATAAACATGTGAAAAGAAAAAAAACTTTCAATAAATGTTTTTAAAGTGCATAAATAAATCCAAAATTGTAACCCTAACCCTGGTTCGTCAGTGCGCATGTGTAGGTGTAGCATGCGTAGCGTGTGTGTTGTAGCAGTGGAGGAACACTTGCTGAAGACGGAGCCCCAGTTCCACTGGTGTTGTGCAGAGTTGTCCGCACCTCGCCGGACTTTCGGATAAATTTATCAACGTTGATGAACCACACAAAGAATATAATATCGTTTTTATATAGTCGGTTAAACAGACCCGCGAGGAACCGCGACATGCATACAGTTGTTGGCAGCGCGGCATGCATGCTAAACTCTGCACAAGACCGGTGAATGACAGGCAAGAGTGAGAGAAAAGGGTCTTCAATAAGCCTCAGTTTAGCTGGAAATTTACAGTGTAAGTTAAATGAAAAGAGACTGCAGCTCTGCAGCTTCTCAAGATTAAAGCAGAGCTACCGTGTGTAACCCCCCTGGCTTGCAATCGCCGCCACAAAAACACACGATTCGACTACAGGCAGGACGTGACGATTCTGATTCGACTATGTAAATCCTTAGTCGGGGGCAGCCCAATAAATTGGACTGTTGGTCAGACAAAAACAGCAATCGGATGATTTAACTTGTTCTAACAGACATATGTCATAGATTAACCAATAAAAATAAAATCGGTTGTAGCCTAACGTTCATATGACGTACTAGCTAACCGGAATTGAAGACATCACATGCTGTGATCATTCAGTATGATTAAAGTCACCATTCATTTTATTGTCAACAAGAGGATTTTAAATGGAGACAAAAAGATAGTCTAAATCCAGTTATCTTCACATAATTTAAATGCATTTTCAAATAGTCTTAGTTCAGACTCAATAACACAATGGTACACTACACATTAATGGCAAATATTCAAGCAGAAAAGACACCTACCGCCTGATTTAAAAAGCATCCCAGTTAGCGTGCCAGCAGCCACTGTGTTGATGTCATCTTCTGCTCCCCTGGCCTTCTCTATCGCCACGCCGAAAGCACTATATAACAAGGCTGCAACGGCAAACAGAAATGCATACGGTTTTATAAAAGGCAGCAAAAACAAATTACCTTATAAACACACATAACACAAGTCACACTCATTTAAAATAGGGAAACTTAAATGTTAACATACACAACATCAACACACACCACACCAATAATATACATTTAAATAAGTACGTTCATGTTGCAATCTGATTTTCATCTGCGAGGTTAGTTAATATGCCTGGTACTATTATGAGGTTACATAATTTTTTGAGTTACAATATAATGGCCTTACCAACAGAGCCCAGAGTGTTGGCCCATGATGCACCCTGTCTCGTCACCATGTTGATAATCCTGGAATGAACAAACATTTAGAGGACAAGTCAAGTGATCCCAAGTGTTAATATAAGGGGAAAAACTACAGGCAAAGTGAATTATCTGTCTCTACTCACTGTACATTACGAGGTTTGGACCATGCCATGTCACTAGTCTCCTTCAGGCCCATCCTGAGACCATTAACAGCACCAAATGCTGCCCCTGTAGTCAAAACAAAGAGGCAGAAAGACCGAGTGAGGAATTTGGTCAACTCGCATTCAGAAAATAAATTACGACGGGAACTCAACACTCAGCTCAACACTCAATACAACATTCAGCTATTCAGTTCCATTTACTCCAGATACACAACACCAAAAAGTATGTGGACACCCAAACGTGATCGTTGAACATGTCATGCTAAAACCATGAGCCTTAATCTGCTGCTATAAAAGCCTCCAGCACTGACAGCAAACGTCAGCTTTTTGGCAGATTTGCTCTCATTCAGGCACCAGATCATTAATGAGGTTGGCTACTGATGTTGGGTAATAAGGCTTGGCTTGCAGTCCCAGTTCGCCCCAAAGGCTTTGTGCAGGCCAGTTACATTCTTCAACACTAAACTCAAAGAAAACCCAGTCTTCATGAACCTGGCTTTGTGCATTAGAGTGTTGTTTTGTTGACACACCCTCTAAAAACTGTTGCCACAAAGTTGGAAGCACACTATTGTTTAAAGTCTTCCCAGATCCATTCTTCATATATGATCTATTCATAACTTTGCCATCATGATTACCCACACTGTAGTTGTATTATGTTGGTCTATTCTGTACACACGCACAAATATCGCATGTCTGCCCATCCTGGGAAAGGGAATCCTCCTCTGTTGCTCTTCCTGAGGTTTCTTCTATTTCCGAATCATGGGTTAAACAATTGTAAAGCCACTCAATTTGTGATATTGGGTATATAATATAATTTTAAGCTGAGGCATTAAGACTTCCTCTAATTCAAACCAAAGGATCCAACTCCAAGCATGACTAGATGTCCACATACTTCTGACCATTTTGCCCTTTTGACAGTCACGATTTTTACGACAATGTTCACAGTTGTAGCAAACAATCAAACCCCTACGAGTCCTATAGAACAGAAAAAATAATGTAAAAGTTAAGGAAGTTGTGTGACACTATGATGCTTCAGCTGTTTATCTACCAGTCATGCAGGATCCTCCAATAGTAAAGAAAGCCAGTTCAAAGCGTCCTCTTGTTTTATTTGCGCCTGTGGGTAGGATGAACTCATCTGTGTCCTAAAACAACAACAGTTGTTACAGTCAGAAAAATCCACAAAACACCTTAGATTAAAATTCCCCTTTAGCCGTAGCTTACCTGAATCAGGTAACGAGGGTCGACGTTGAGGTAAGGGGACAGAGGACTCATTCCGGTCACTGAAATGACATTACAACAGATATATCAGCTAACTTTGTTTTGACATAATTCATACTTATATATTGAGAAGTTGTATTTGCCAGAAATGTAAAGGCCATGACAGTTTTGACAGTAACGTTACAGCAAGTTGCTGTTACCGGTAGCTTTGAAGCTAACTAGGAAAGCATTTAGCTAGGGTTATGGTAAAACTACACGACACTCACAGGGAACCCCGGCGAGCTCTGTGTTGGAGTATTCAGGTGCACCGCCTCCAAAGAGACCCCCGAGACCTCCTTTGGTTCCTCCCAATCCTTGTGAGTTATTGTCCATCTTTGTGAAAGATCCGAGGGGGTCACCTGGTGAAAACTGGAGCCAGGTGGGGAGCTGCTAGCCGAGCCGATCTGGCTAACGTTAGCAAGCGCTAAGCTAAATCGCAGTAGTCAAAATCCAAGACAAACTGATCGACGACGAGCTGCTGGCTTCACCGCCACCAATATACGTGGCCCCGTTAATGCGTGTGCTGAATCCGACGTGAGTTGTCCGAGTGAAAACTGACTTTTCGTTGTAGATGACTGATCTCGAGTCTCTTGCCCCTGACCTACACCAGCACGCTCTGCCGTAAAGTGACCCCAGATGCTGAGATGTCGTTACGTCAACAAGACCGACAATTAAAGGTGGAAAAAAGAGACAACACTGCCGTAAATGTCAATTTTATCTCATGATTTCTAGACCATAAGTCGTTTAAATGTGATAAGTAAGGCAACAAAACCGCACCGATAATGTTAGTCAGTCCCACGACTTTACGACACCTCCACAGACCTGGGATCTGTTTCTTTAGCCCAAGGGCAGACAGGGTGACGCAGCCAGAACTTTACAAACTGACAGCAGGTCAAGAGGAGAGAGGTTGTTATTCAGTCAATAATTTGATCATGTTTGTGAAACGTTTTACATATAATCAGTGTTACATATAACAGTGGTGGAAGAAGTGCTTAAGTAAAAGAAACAATGGGCTGTCACAAAGAAAAATACTGTATAAAAGTTCGTTTTCAAAGTTATACTCAAGTAGAAGTACAGAAGAACTACTAGCAAAGTCTACTTAAAGAATAAAAATAGCCTATATGTTTGATAATGGCTCCTTTCAGTGTCAGAGTAGCCTTCATCACATTTTATGTTACATCTGTAAAGTAATCTGTAACACTAGGTGCCAAATAAACTGAGTAAAAACTACAATATTTGGCTCTGAAATGCAGTGTAATAAAATGGAAACACTCAAGTAAGGTAGCCTACCTCAAAGTTCTACTCAAGTAGGCTACCTTACTTGAGTGGGCTAAATGTCATTTGGCATAATTAAAAGACCTACTGTCACATAATAAAAAATGTTTTACTGAAAAATTAATTATGAAAAACATGTACAAATTCTTGGTCTGTGCCTCAGACAAACACATTAAAAATAGAATAAAATACATGAATCTCAAAGATTCTTCCTTGAATAAATAAATTAACAAAGACTATAACGTGGTCTTCAGTTTACACTATTAATGTCTTACATATATCAGCAGTTCTTCTGCAGTGTATAACCAACCTGAAATTCATTATAAAACTCCTTTTATCATTTTATGGTTTATGGTAGTTGCCCGTAATTTTTGTTATTCAGTAAAAATTCCAGTTTCCCCTTCAGTGCCACTCCATACATACTGCATACACTAAGTGATTAGAGTATAACAGATTTTACTTTATACACATTATCAATTTGCTAGCAATGTTTCTAGGTAGTACTGACAACCAGAAACAACTGGATGGATATGCATGTACATCATGTACACATTTAAAATGGATTTCTATGTCTAGTGCAGCAACAATTATTTTCATTATAAATTAATAATTTTGTCTATAAATGTGTCAAATAAAATGGGAACCCCTGAGGCTTAGGGCTTAAAACACCATCCATAAACTGAAGTGTCACAGACTGAAGACCTTTGTTTCATCGCTCTCACCCTCATTTTCTGTTATCTCTCTTCTAGTAATACATAAAACCCAAGATTATTTAAATCCCCAAATAATCACATTTACAGATAAGAAGATGGTGCACGCAAATGTTTGCCAGTCTGTCTTTTGACTAATCATTTCAGCTCTACTGTCGTCACATACTGTTTTTCAGTGGTGGAAAGTTAAGTTACAAAAAAGATATTACTTCACTGTGTTTATTTGATAACTTTAGTTACTAGTTACAGATTAAGATTATTAATACAAAATATGAATAAAATAATAAATTATGATTTCATATTATAGATTTTATTATAAAGTAGTTGAAACTAACCCCTACTGCTGCAGCATCAATGATGCTTACATGTTAATGCGTTACTAATTATAATCCAGTGATTTTGTTCTGTATAGGCCATTCTGTATAGTGTATACTTTTACTTTACTTTTGAACTTTGTACTGAATCCGGAACTTTGACTTGGGTTTGTTTTTTTTGTGGAACGATGGAGTTTCTTACATGGAACACAGTGTGGCAGCAGAGAGCTGATGGAAAACACCAGACCAGCGGGGTCAGACCTGTTGGGTCTGGTACTCCTCAGTCGTCTTGCTAATTAGGCCTAATTTAAATGACTGATTGAGATAAATTTGCTCCCAGTCATGACAGATACAAGTTGGATTTGCATGATGCTGTTTATGTTACAGTAGAGAGGTACGGCCAGGTTAAATAACTTCCACATGACACCTGTCAGGCCTTTAAATGCACCTCTCAACGCCACTGGGTACTTACCCACGATGCACCAGAGAGACCACACACATGCACACGTACATGCACATTTATGCCACGGCCATCTGCTGCCGGTCAAAGGCACAGAGGCACTGAAGGAATTTAGTGTGTTGAATTTCACGAATAACAGAGCATCTTATTCGGATTCTGCCATTGTATGTGTGTATTCAGTAGGGGCCAAGTGGAGCGATGAAGTTTGCCATTGTCGCCCAGTGTGGGTGTTTTCAGACTCTCTGGCATGATCTGTGAGTTAGTGTTCTCTGTGTTACTGCCCAGTGTGCCCACTGTCTTTCCCACAATGCCCCATTCAGCCCTGGGCCTCTCTCTCTCTCTCTCTCTGCTCACACTCTCTGAGACTGAGCTGACACCCGTTTTGTGCCTCTGGCTAATCATCATCATCATCATCATCATCATCATCATCCAGCTACAAACCAAATTTTCAGTTGTGGGATAAAATAGCTGTGATGTCATCTTTGTTATCAGATTTTTTTTTACCCACTCTTGTTTTCATGTTCTCCTTCATTTCCTCTCTTCCCTTCTCTCTCTCCCTCTCTCTTTCTTTCTGTCTCTCTGAGCTCCCAAACACAAAAGACAGAGGGGCCACGACAGGACCCCAGTGTATGCCGGTTGTCAAGGAGACAAGGAGACAGTGTTGGGTCTTTAAACTGCCTCAGAGGGGTGTGTGGAGTTAGGGGGAGTTGGCCTTATTTACATGGGAAGAGGACAAGGGAGAGAGGGGTTTGAAATACAACTTTTGAGCCGTTCCCCTGCAGCTTATAGGACTCCGCTGTTATTCAGCTAAAAATCACTCCGCCGCTCATCAAATATTTACCAAGCAGCGGAAATCTGGAGCTGTTCATTATGTGGAGAATGCAGTGCATACATAGTAATGTAAATCAACCTGTCTTTTCCTCCCTCTGTCTCTCCCACTCACACCCATCCTTCCACACAAACACACTTGCACACAACCATGCTCTGATTGTAAGAGCTGGGAGCGCTGGGCCCCTGTGTTTTGGCATTGGCGAGAGCTGACTGCAGAATACATTACCAGATGCTTGAAGAGTGTTTCATACCAGGAGAGAAGAACGAGAATAACAAAACAAAAACTGAAAACAGGAAAAACAGAGACAAGAGTGCACGCCCATCCACACACACATGCGCCCCCACCCATCCACACTCACCCACACACACACACCCACCCACACACACACACACACACATAGTCTCTGTTTTATTTTCTCGCTCTTCCCATCTCCACTCAGTGCTTCTTCCTTTCCAGAGGGTTGTCTGCAGCGGTCACATCATGTCCTGTCTCTCTTTCTCTCTTGCTCTGTGATCCGGGGGCCGGGGTTGCGGCTGCAGAGCAGGCTCAACTCCAAGCCTGAAGTTCAATATCACCCCCCAACTTAACAATGAAAGCAGGAAGGGCAGGGAGAGGACGAATGAGCTACCCACTGCTGCATTCACCACAGAAAACCCCATGTGATTTTCTTCTTTGTGTGTGTGCGCGAAACCTTATATGTGTGATTTAAAGGGTAGTTTTACTTTTAACTTAAAGTGTCAATGCTCAAATTACTCACAGAGTTTGTTTTCAGATAACCGCCTTTATGTTTTAAATTTTAAACGGGTGGAGTAGTCTATTATACATTATCAAATGTAGCTACCATGACACATGTAGATTATGAGCAGTGGGTTTTCGGAGACTTCAGGGACAGACTGTGTTCCTGTGTAACGTTTACACTGCAGATGTTAGAGGGCGAGCTTGCACAATCAATTTCCCTTTAATTCCCCAGCCATCTAGTCATCCAAATCTGAACCCCCCACACCCCCCTTTTTCTCTCTGTTATACATGTGCATGCCTTTGAGAAACCATGGTGAGCTGGGTGTGTTTCGTTCTCTCTTATTACACACATAGATGTGTGTAATGTCCACTTGGAGAGAAGGCGTAGACAACAAGAGAAAGAACACAGAAAAGGAGAAGTGGGGAAAAAACATGTTGTGGCCTTTTCCCTATGCATTTTGTCTTAAGTGTCTGCTGGGTTTTCAACCCCTCCCCGTATCTAAAGAGTGTTTGGTGATTAGTATGCAGAAAGGAAGCTGATTTGCATAATTAAGTGCTACAGAGAAAAAGCAACAAAGTTTGTTAGTTTTACAACTAAGAGTTTAATAGTGTACAAAGAGTTATTCCTGCTCAGAATACTTTAAAAGTTAAAAGTTCGTTGTTCAAACACATATCTTTGTCCCCCCACCCCCATTTTTTAGACACACATGTAAATGTTTTTTTTTTTTTTTAAGGAATCCAAAGCAGACACAGATACCATTAAAGTGGTTAATAATCACAGAGGTGGTAACAGTTAGTAACCTACACTTGGCACTTAAGAGTAGATTAATGTTGTACTACACTGTTAATTGTCACACTCATAGTATACAAAAGGCACAGAAGGCAAGCAATGCTGATCTCAAGTTAATACAGAGAACATCAGAGACTCCAGTATATCAGGACATAGAGACATGATTACAAATGACAAATGAAGGATAGTTCATCAAATGTTTCTCCGTAATAAGGCATAAATGTTCTTATCTGAAAAGGTCATTTAATGTTATTTTCACGTACAAAATAGAATATAAAAATACATTATAAACTTGTTACAGATGTTATGACTCCATGATTTTTTTTATGTCAAGGCATCGGTTGGTTTATGTGTGTGTGTGTGTGTGTGTGTGTGTAAAACTGTGCCACGCCCTCAGAGAAAGCGGATACACATGCTAAAATATATATATGGACGACTTCATCTCCAACAAAACAATCAAACAAACAAACAAACAAACAAACAAACAAACACAAGAAAAAGATAAAATATAACACTGTTCTCTTGAGGTATCTGAACCTCACATAAACATCTCAGACACTGTAGCTGCTGATTCAATACTGCATTGCACTTCCAATTCAAATGAGACACTTGGTTTTTTTTTTGGGCACTAAAATCTGAATTGATAAGCGTTATGGATGTAAAACCATAAAAATGCAGATGATGACAATTGGCTGTGACACATTTCTTGCAGTGCTAATGAATCTGCATAAACCCACCAATTCCATGCTGGGCACAAACCCACAATGTAGTGGAAAAAGATTTAGGTGTAACATTGTTTCATCGCTCACAATAAATATAGGCACTGCTGTTGAAGCTCATACAATACTGTAGTGTAAAAAAGGCAAAGGCATCGTTGTGTAAGTCCTCTAGATTTAGACAAAAGAAGTGCAACCTTCCCTCTGTGAGTGTGTCTGTCCTGTACAGGCTTGGCATTTATGCTGTTGACTCAGTATTGGGATGCTTTAACCTAATAAGAAAAACTCAGAGATACTGTGGCATTTTGGATTCTGGTTTGTTATTTTTCCTCACTGAGCACCTGTTGCTTTACAGTGAAAAAAGCTGCTGCACCGGCATTTTACTTCCCCGAACGTTTTTTTTTTTTTTGTATTCCTCATTCAAACGTGTCAAGGAGAAATGGAAATCACTCTCCCAGGTCTTTTTTTTAAAGGAAATGAAGCACAAAATAAGTTATTTAAAAAAGTGACGTTTTAAACACATCATCAGAAACCACAGGTTGGTGTTACATTTCAAGGGAAAGCGTGTTAATAAACTGAATGTTTTAACACCAATTATAATGTGTAATAATGAAATTAATGTATTATGCCCAAAAAAAGCAGAGTGTTTGGAAAAGTTTCCCACATTAAGTAAGAGGTGCCCGATGAGGAAAAAATGTTTCAAAATATCAACACATCTCTTAGTTTAGTGTTTATGGAGGGTTTCTGTGCTGGATAAGTACAGTTACCATCATTATCAGTATGGTTACTATGTTATTAATAGAGTTATTATTATTGCATCACATGGACTGAGGGCAGGGCAGCTCAGAGGGACAGTTTGGCACAGCCAGGGATTTGTTCAGGAGCCCTTCACCAGTGTGGGCCCCCTCCACAGTAAAGTCTAGTGGTATAGCATGGCAACAACCATTACAGATTGGGATTTCGACTGTTGAATGGTTATAAAACATTCTCAGACCGGCTTTGGACATTTGGAAGGAAGGCACGTTTGGTAAAGTTTAGGTTAGGACTTGATGGGCGGGGTCCTGAGGTTTTTTTCCCATGATCGCTGTCGTCTGGTTGGTTGGTTAGACAGAAGCAGCCGGGGTTGTTCCCAAAGTGCTGGTCTGGTTGGCAGAGCTGAGGGAGTGGCGGGGCCGTGGGCCAATGAGCGCGCCAGCGGGCAGAGATGGGTGGGTCATCAGTGGGCGGAAAGGTCAGAAGGTCAAGGGGTCATGGGTTAGTTGCCGTGGCAGCTAGAGTTAGACAGACAGAGACGGACAGACGTGGAAAGGAAACAAAAAGGGCACATAAAAGGGGACATAAAAAGAAAAAAGATAGAAGAGAGATTAGTGTCAGCTAGTGGCGTCAGGATGACAACAAGGCAGATCTACTGCAGTCACACAGCGAGAGGGGAAGTACATAACACCTTCATGAGCCCTGCATAACCATTCAGAAGGACTTACATCAACCACCGGGTGGTGACATAAGGAATGGCTGGTTAGCGATGCTCATATGTGCTCATGAAGGTGTTTGCAGTGTTTTAGGAGGTACCCCTCCTGTCGTGTGACTGCTGCTATAGTGATACTACTCATGCTAGCTGGGCTACGTCTAGCACAGACAGACAGTGAAACCATGGACAGAGAGGGAGACGGCATGGTTTCATGTGGGTGAGAGAGTGACCTTTATGTCCAGAGAAAAGTGTCTGGGCCTCACAAATACTTTCACTCGCTGACAAGTAGAGCCATTGTTGAGCAGCAGGCGTAAGACCTTGATGATTAACAGTTGTGATTAACTGATTATTGATTATAGTTTGAGCTATTTGCTATGAAGTATTAGAAGAGGAGGCACCATAAGAGATAGTGATGAGAGGTTAAGAGATGGTGATTTTAGAGGGACTTAAGAAACAATTTAACAATAGACAGACTAACTACAAAAATTTAGAGGCTTTGGTTTTCTTTAGAGCTTTTTTCAATAGTCATCTTTATTGCCTTTTAGTGTTTTTTGTCCATCGTGTACAACAAGAGCACCAATGCTCACATACACACATATATTGTAGCTAGCTAGTCCATTTCTATTGCATAAAACAGTCACGAGGCCTGTGAATCGAGAAGGTCACCTCATCTTAAATAGACAAGAGCAAAACACTGCCTTCATTGCCACCTCTGCGGTGACTAAAACAGTAGTAGCTACACACCTTGAATAAAGTTTGAAGTTTACATGAAGACACTTCATCTATAAAAAGCATACGTAAAAACAAAAATAAAAATGTACAAACTAAAAAAAAAATACTACAAGTATTTCCAAGCAATCTTGTTCCATAAGCTTCATATAAGCACTTAAATCCTTAAAATCCCTATATACAAATTTATTTTGCAGCTAAATACATGGTAACAGCACCACTCTGGCTAGGAAATATATGAAAGATGTAAACAGCCCCAATGATCAAGTCCAGTGGGCGACTGATAAGACCACAAACAACAGTATTTCATACAAAAGAGCTTGTAACACAGACTTCAGTAGTTATCACACGCTGTGTTTTAGTAGTAAAGACCAAAGATCATATTGAATTGAATGACCTCCAGAAACAGACAATCCCTGTTACTTTAAATGTCATATAGTCATTGGGCACAACACAGGATTTAATTAATAATAATAAAAAAATTTGTGGAAATCTACTGGAATGAAGTTGGGTTTAAATAAAACTTCCCACAGGTATTTGTAGGGTCAAAAGTAGTAGTGAAGAGATAAAAAAAAAAGTTTCTGAGAGAGGACTCCAAATCCAGAGTCACAAGGACCGAGTCACATGAACGGAGTGATCCATTCTAATTGAGAGGGTCCCGGCCTGAAAGCCGTCCAGTTTATCAAACAGGCGAGCAAAGATAACCGCTGCAGCTGTCACCCCTAACATGGTTCCTCCCAATCTGCTCACTTATTTCACTTTCACTGCAACAAATACTGTTTCACATTTTACACCGAAGCTGCTTCAGCATGTGACCTTTTCGCCTGATACAGTTATTTATTTTTTAGGCATGCCATATCACAGACACATGTAAACTGAAATTGGTCCATTGGTCTGCATGCATGCACGCACACTAACACACACACACACACACACATACATACACATACGCGCACACACACACTCACACACACATAAAGTGGCTGGTGAGCTAACTAACCTCTGTCTGGGGTCACTACCCTTTGGTAAGGATGGATTCTCTTGTCGTGGCGTCGTACCTTAGTGGTCATGGCACCTGCTAACAGCCATTGACATCGCCAAAACAGAACACAGAAGGTTACTCATCAGAAAGACATGAAACAGTCCACCCATGGCACCAACATCAATGAAACCAGGAATTTACAAAAAGTTCAAGGCTGACGGTGAAAATAAGTAAAAACATCTCGCTTCTAAGAGACAGAATTGTTGTTGTTTTGTGGTCTTCTGTTCTCTAAAGAAAATATTAATCCAAACCACTAATTTCTCACTAAGCGTCACTAGTAGATTCAATTTCAGCTGTAGCAAAGTCACTCTATAGCTCTGTGATTAAAATAAGCTTTAACATATATTAAATCACAAACAGCGGTGCTAAAATATCTATGGGTTCATTAAAATGTGTTAAAAGTTACAAGCGGAAGCTGAACTATTAAAAAAAGTTAAATAGCTGTCACACCACAACACTAGTTTACTAATACGAAGAGGAAATAAACAGGAATGGACACTTGACTACAGAATGACTGTCGAGGAATCTGTCATCCTAAAGTATGAGCAAACTTTGAGTGTTTGCTCTGTTTGAAGTATGTGGGGGGGGCGGGGTCTGCAAGCCAGTCCGTGTGTGTGCTAGGAAGGGTTGCTATCGCTTAGCCTTTGGTTGGGAAAGCCATACCTGCAAAAACACAGGAAGAAGGGACTGTTAGCCCAGCAATGAGCATCTGCATTCATCAATATTGGTCGTGGATGTATTACAAGAGCTGGATATGGCTGCCAATTTGTCCAAGTGACAAACCGTGGTACTGCAACAAACAAATCCTCTGTGGACAATATCAGGTTTTTAGTCACGTTTGTGCTGTTAAGTCGCTTTATGTGATTGTTGTGAATTAATTTTGTCTGTTTATGACTGTGTTAACTTCACCTCACTGCAATTTTGGCCAGGTAAGTAAATAAATAAAGAGGGAAAGAGACAGAGCGTAGCGAGACATTCAGTGTATTGACTCTATGGTTCAGTCGAAATAAATCTTACTGTGCTGTGATTATATACAAAAGTCAATGTTAAGACACGCTTGGACGAAAATTAGCCTGAATGGCGCAAATTAATGCAAAGATGTATCCATGCAAGTCGAAAATGTTTCCATTTGTGACAAAATATTTGCGTTAATTCCAGGTGCTTTATCTACAGAAACGAAACGGAAAAAGGAGGGAGACTAGAGAGAAAAACCAGAAAGAAGAGTTTCTGGTGAGTTCTGAGCTGAACATATGGACGGTCTGTAGCTAGCTAGTTTACGGCTAATGTCTGTATAGTTGGTGCATTGGCTGTTTGGGGTGAATGAATACACACTGCACAAACAGTCAAACGGTCAAATTCACAAACGACGCTTTGCTTTGTCTGAACACACCTGTATAGACGTAGGTACAAGCCAGTTCGTGTCCCAACCCTGACCAATGCAGAACTTTCTTGAGGCGCAAAAAGCATTTTTCAAATAAACTTCCATTATAAAACATGTCTAATGTTGATGAACGACAAAACAAGGCCAAGGACTCTCTGAACTATGAATATGTAGACCATGTAAATCTTTCTTAGAGTCTAGCAGTGCTATTTTCCTATGCGTGATCACATCTCAGTGTAAAGTCTATGGGACAAGCGGGCGGGGCCAGGGACAGAGACACTAAAGGAACGTTTTTTTTAGCGTTTGCGACTGGTGAGCATCTTTCATTGGAGTCCAGTATCCAGTTCTCATAATACATCCATTGACTATGTATCAAAGTGATGAACGTTTGATTTCTAAATACCTAAAACTCCAGTTGAGTCAATCGGGTATTCCAATATGGAGGGCGTAAGTGTGTAGGGATACTCGTAGGGTGTGTAAATGATTCCAGATTCGGGCCCCTGCTGCACCAGCGTGGGGTGCGGATTGCCACCCGGCATGAGGGCTGAGCTCTGGATCTGGCGAATAAGAGGCATGAGGGTCGGCGTGTTGACAGGGGCGGGGTTGCGCAGGCTGGGAGGCAGGACGGGCGTCGGGCCTGTGATGATCCGAGGCGCCTGAGGGGTACCTAGAGGGAAAGCGGCTGTGGCTGTGCGGCACACAAACATAAAATAATGAAAATATGCACACACCCCCGCGCGAGCACACACAAAAAGCACACACACATACAACAGACAGGGAAGAAAAGGAGAGGACAAACAGACTATTTAACAGAAGAAACAGAAGCATTGTTCATGTATACAGTGGACTCCTGTAACAAGACCCCTCCTTTGTCACCCACCAACCCTCCTCCACATGTTAAATATGATGTCATCCTTACGCGTCTTGACATTGGCGTCTCTGTACGTCCCGTTGAGAATGGCCAGCTCCATCAACTGCATTTTCTTCAGGTTGTCCTCCCCCTCAGCCTACACCAACACATGCAGAGCAGCACAATCAGCTTCTGGTCTCAGCAAATGTTACAGTATGATGAAACTAATTATGATTCACTGTAAATGTTTTCTAAAAGAGAAAAAAAAAGTCTGGATATTTTCCTTTCTTAGGATTTTAGCAATGTCTGAAATGAACAGACCTTGAACACGGCCACTGCAACACACAGCATATATTCAGTGTCAACCCCGCTAGCTTCTTTGCTCCAGTTACAGCTCGGTGAAAAGCCTGACTGATTTACAGTCAGACAGCAAAGTCACCTGGTTTAAACTAACAAGTATCATTGACTTTACCCTCCACACACACATTCACAAACACGGATTAACAGGTGTTCAGCTCAACCTGATTGCCTATAGACACTTCTTACATTATTTTACTTTTAGGGGCTGGCCGATACCGTGCTGTGATTGGAGCGGGAAGTGACGGCTGATTGCGGCAATAGAAATCCCCCTGCTGGTCTTTTTAGTTAGTTTCTATTGTTGCAAATAATGCAGAGGAGAAAAAAGGAAGGAGTCTTGTGATTTCATAATATGTGCTTTTGTGATTGGGTGTCAGACAGAGGATAATTTAGTGTTATTGAGTGTGTGTCCCTGTGTCTGTATGTCAGTGTCTATACAATGTTCCAATGTGTTTCTTATTTGTCATCATGCTTTTGCACATTTATGCATTTATGTGTGTGTGTAGGGGGGAGTAGGTGGGTTGGAGAATGTAAGATATGTTGAGGAGTGTAATCAGAATGTCCTCTTGTGTGGACAACAACAACAAAAAAGAGAAAAAGGAATACTGTAGCCAGTAGTTGGGAATGAAGTGAGTTGTGAACGAGTGAAAGGAGTGATGGAGTGGGGAGAACAAGTGAACAGACTCTCCATTCATTCCCTCAGCCTTTCAAACAACCCGGGGTTACCATAGAAACCCCTTTATGCGTGTTCCCTAATTACCCTAACCCCTTACACATACTCTCTCATACACACAGAGACATACACACACACACACACACACACACACACACACACACACACAAAAGCACAAAAAAGACACAAACACACTTTTTGGACTGACAATCCCCTTCCCCCTTCCATGCATACCAACAGAGTGAACTCTCATCCAGTCACACACGGTTATTACATCAGTCCAGTCCATAATATTTGATGGAGGGAGTTCGGACTGATACTCACAGCGGGCACGAGAAGTTTCTTGACCTCGTTGATGGCTCGCTGGAGTTTGATCTTGGCCCGGTTGTGTGTGTCCTCCACTGTGATCAGGACGTGGAGGTCTTCGCTGAGGTGCTCCCAGTTGGGCTTCCCTCGGTTCATCTCCTCCTGAAAAACATGTTCAAAGCCCTGTTTGAATGCACTTTTCTTCTCGTTTGGCTCGATTTTTGGAACGGCCTCAAACCACACACAAACACACACAAGGCTCAAGGTCGTGTAATGCAGCTTCGGAAGCGTTATCAAACTCACATTTCCCTTCAGTGGTTACATAAGTTTGGTGTTGCATTTTATTAATGTAACATTTCCCCAAATCCCAGCATTCTTTGCCACTGCTTTTTATCTTATCTGTTCGCCTCTTTCTCTCACCTTCACTTTATCAAAGCTAGTGCTGAAATGATTAGTCAAATTAATTGATAATCAGATGTTGATTCAATGACAGTAACAGTAAGTCATTCTTGAATAAAAGTGCCAAATATTGACACAGTTTCAGGTTGCATGTGTTGTTCTCCTTCCTTGTTGTTCATATCACAAAACAGGTGCACGTGATTACTCTGTCTTGTGTGTTTTGGGTAACTGTGTTCCAAATACACAAATACACAAACTGTATTGGCTGCTCTTGTTTTAGTTTATTGTATTATTTGGGGTGTTTTTTCAAGTTCACTGGACACATTAAGCAATTTGAAGAAAGTCTATTTGGGTTCTGTCCATCATTCCACCATTCCGGTCCACACTGAAATATTTTAGCCAATTTTGATATTTCGTGTCCTCAGGTCATAACTCTCAAGTCATAATTTCACATTGTCCACTACTTTCATTCATAATGAAATACCAACAGAACTATCAGCCTCAGCTGTACTTTGTGTTTAGTGGTCAATAGCGGTAGTGGAGGACGTTTTCAGATCCTTCACTTAAAGTAATAATCTCAAAATGTTCATTTAAATTAATGTCTGTAAAGTCACTATCACCAAGTGAGGTAATACAGTGGTGACTGAGACGATGGTTCACTGATATACGCAACATTTATATATTTGTAGTATTACAAACTGGGTGTCAGTGATGACATTCCTGGATGAAAAATGCTGTATTAACTTGCTGCTAATGCAAATTGAACATTTCCTACTACTGCAGGTTGACATTAAAAGCATTCAACTGGCAAACACAAATTGACTTTAACAGTCATTTTAGACATTTTTTGACAACCTGTCAGTTTGAAATACTGCAGGGAGTAATGGAACAATGGACGAAGCAGTAGCAGCCACGGTGAGCTGTCAGATGAAGATCTGCAAAACACCAACTTATCAGCATGGTAACCAACTCCTTTAACCATGACCTGCTGTTTGCAGACTCATGTTGTGTGCAGCATAAAAAAAAATAGTTTTATCTAACAAAACATCATATGGTAGAAGCTTCATATGTTTGTGTGCAAAAATATTTTTAACTTGTAAAGTAACTAAGCTGACAGATAAAAAAAAAGTATAAAAGTTGTAGTTTTATGGGGGAGTTCAGCTGCTAGAATGCTTCATGCTTCGTCAGATGGTCGAATAGCTTCGGAAGCTCCCTCCCCCAACACCTGCTGTTTTCAAAACCGACATTCTGATTATACCCACCCACTTTTGTTGAGCGGTGTGGAGGTTAGAAAGTAAGCTAGGTTTGAACTTCTCTTTTCATTTATTACACATTTATTTCTATCATATAACAACTGAGTGCAACACTATGAAGTCTCCCGGGAGAGACTGTTCTCTTTATATTCAAACTGTAGCTGTGTCTTAATTCAGGGGCTGCATCCTTCGAGGGACGGCCAAACTGAGCGTGGTAAAAGTTTACGGACGATTTCCTATTTGCATCACCAGCTGTTCCCACCAGCCGTACCCTTGCGTCACAAAGCGGCGCTCCTGTCGCCCAGCAACCTTGACAGCTGAAGCTGACACAGCCAGTAGAAACGGAGCCGGAAATTTTAATTAAATTTTCTAAGGCTGCAAAATCATCAGGGGTGAAAAACGTGACAAGGACTCCCAAGTCATTTCGCGGAGATTATGACGCTCAAAAAAATAAATCCACCGTTTTACAGCCGCTTGTTTGGCCTCTAGTAAAATTGACTTCAAACCACAGAGCACTTTCTGGGGGCTAGGAAGTTTTTGAAAAACTCATCGGATTTACATAAATCACATAAATGGCTTATTTTGGATTCAAAACAACTTTTGAAACAATGCAAATTTCGCCGAAAGGTGACAAGTTTGCACCCCTGATTTTAGTTTTACCACTGATTAGAGAAAGCCACAAAGGCTCTTGCCATTGGATCTGAATATCCAAATTCTGTAAGGCAGAATTTCTCAGCCGCATTTGAAGGAGCCTTCGAAATGGGACAGTCTTGTCGCATTTACTTCAAACACAGCTTTTGTAGGATGCTACCCCTGAACTGAGACACAGCTTGTATTGCATCTCCCTGACGGTAGGTTTTCACTTTGCCTTCAAGTTTGGTCCTTTGGAACAACTGTAATCACTAATTTATAGCTTGTCGGACAAATTACTTCTGTTTTAGTATAACCTGACCTTTATGTGTTGGAGCTATTTCTTGGCTGAGCGCAGTGACCTTCTAGCCAGCTAACTGTTTCCCCCTGCTTCCAGTCTTTATGCTAAGCTAAGCTAACCATCTCCTGGTTGTCGCTGCGTATTTATATGCATTATTATTACATGCATATGCTGGTATTGATCTTCTCAATTAACTCTCAGCAAATACATATTCCCAAAAAAAGTACAGCTTCACAGAGCAGCTGCTTTCCATTTTATTTTCACATCAGTTAATAAAATATCTATAACGTACATAACTGTATATAACTGTAAATAACTGCATCAAAGTTAAAACTGAACTTCTGAAGTTTTCTGTCTCTTGTGTGCTGGGACACTGGATCCTCTGTGGATGTTTTCTCAAGTGAGATGTATCGTTTTGAAAAACAGCAAAAGTCAACATCTTTCTCTGCTCTCCCACTGTTGCCACCCACTGTGTCTCTGTTTTCCTTCCTCTCTGACTCTCACTGTGTGTATGTATCTCTTTCTCTCTCTCTCTCAGAGGGGTGTGCGGGGTAGGGAATGTTCTGGAGAGAGAGGGTGGGTTGGAATGCTGGACTTGCTCCACCTGCCGTTTGGAAAGCTTGAGCAGACTCTGTCCAACAGAAAACACCAGGGGAGAGGAAGGAGAACAGATGGACTGAACACTAGGACAGGAGAGAAAAACCGAGCACCAGAAACTCATTGTAAGAGAACTGTGGCAAGATACTATAGAGATAGATAGATAGATAGATAGATAGATAGATAGATAGAACAAAAATTATCATTCCCACTAATTGTGAATCATATTATAAATCGTAATATCTGTCATCTGTTTTTACCATATCGTGCAGCCCAAATGTCAAAGCTGCTGAAATGGGAGCAATTTAAAGCACATCAAGAATAACTTGATGATAATAACAATAATGAATGTACAAATGTTTAGTGTGAAGGATTGCCCAACTAGATGTTGAGCAAAGTGAAAAAGTTATTTAAAGGAACAGTGAATTTCTTCCCTTTCTTGCAGAGAGTTATCTGAGAAGATTGACACCACTCTCACGTCTGTACAGTAACTATGAACCTACAGGCAGCAGCCGGTTAGCATAGCATAAAGATGGAAACGGGGGAAACAGCTAGCTTAGCTCTGTCTGTAGGCAACAAAATCCGCCTACCAGCCCCTCTAAAGCTCACTGATTACTCACTAATTAACAGTTTGTTTATACCCGCACAAAAACTGCAGTGTAATGTGCGGGACTATTTCTTGGCCAGGGGTAGAGACTTCCTGGACTCTCTGGTTACAACAATACTTTGAGGATTTTGTTCCTGCGGACAGAGCCAAGCTAGCTGTTTCCACCAGTTTCCAGTCTTTATGCTAAGCTAAGCTAACTCTCCTGGCACTAGCTTTATATTTAGCATACAGACACAAGTGTAGTATCAATCTTCTCATCCAGCTCATGGCAAAAAAGCGAATTAGCGTTTTTCACAAAATTTCAAACAATTCCTTGAAATAAATTTGATGTGAACATGCAAAAACATTCCTGTGGTATATTGCATAGCCATACAATTGAAGCCGACTTGAATGAAAGATGAGAGTGTCAATGAAAGCATGTGTCTTGCGTGGTTTTTGTGAGTGTGCATACCTTCTTCTTGTCTCTCATGGAGCCCTTTCCTCGCACCATAATCTTGCAGCCGGTCTCTGCCTCCAGTTGTTTGGCCGTCAGTCCACGTGGGCCCAGGATCCTCCCTACAAAGTTAAACTACACAAAAGAGCAAAACACACTGATAATCAAACAATGCCCGAAGGAAGACATTTTACATCACAGACTCATATTTGTGCTGGCTGTGAGTGTACTTTTGAGGTCTGTGCATCTGTGATGTGTTTGTGTTACTAAGAGAGACAAAAATAGCTTATTATATGAGTGCTGGCTGGTGCCGTTCTCTTAACCTTATCTGTCACTAGGACTGAGTGATTAACTAGACAGCTGCCCCTCTGTGTGTGTGTGTGTGTGTGTGTGTGTGTGTGTTTGTTTCCTTGCCACTATCCCTCAGTCTCTCCCTGCCTCTCTCATAACATTTGTCCGGCCTCATCCTACTTTTTGGATTCATCCTACTTTTACTTCACTGAAGTCTCCCTGAGTTTAACCTAATGTCCACTAATAGTTGCAACACATTCGCGCCAGCCTCTGCGATGACCCTTGAACACACACACACGCGCACAAATCCAGATAGAGGAACTGCTCTCTAAATTTAAACTTGATCTCGACCGTTTTCCAGTGCACTCCTGTGTGTGTGTGTGTGTGTGTGTGCGTGTGCGTGTGTGTGTCCTGTTAGTTGTCTGTCATGTGAGTGAGGACAGCCTGTCATTGTATTTGGTGATTGGCGAGCTGATGCATGGAGAAAATCATGTGAGCCATTCAATCTGGATCAGCAAACTCATATTGAAGTGCTTAACTGTACTTGCCGTGGGCAGGGATGTTCTGGATGGTAAAGTCTCTTCACCGCAGTTTACTTGTCTTTATAATTGAGGGAAAAAATATAATCTACCTTTTTAAGCTCTCATATATACTTATAGTTAATGACTGTGTCACGGAGAGGGAATTTACATCTGAATATTGCCTTTTTGATTAAACAAAACTTGTATTAATCTGAATCTTAAAAACTGTAAATGATAAATTTTTATCTTATTGGAAACACTGGTCATGGTTCATTATTGATCTATTTTAAGTGTAGATTACATCACTGGGTGTGTGCAGAGATGATCTCAGAATGAAATCAGCTTTTAAATCAAATGTAAAGCGTCCCCTTGATTAAAAGCCTCACTGACTTTCTGGCAGCCTTTCTGTAACCAAGAGGAGATAAAGTGACAGCGAAAAGTAAACAGAAACTCATCTAGAAGGTCAAAGGTCATGGAACTGTCCACTCACATCGGGGTACTCTTTGACCGGCACGTAGAGCTTCTCCTGCAGTTGAGCCACGGGGCCGATAGCTTCAGGAAGCTCCTCCATGTCCCGCCCGTTGAACATGCCACCGTTCACTGTGTCGTTGTACATGTCCTTGCGTACCCTGCCGATTTCTGGGAGACAGAGACAGAAGGAGGGAGCAAAGTTCAGTAAATTTAACCGAGGACGTCCAGGAAAGTGTCACGTTTCTTCTGACCGTCCGTTTCTTAGGCCAATGACTCACTGTCACCAGAGTTACAGGAGTGTCTGCGTGTGACAGCAGACAGTTAGGCAATCAGACAGACAGACAGGCAGGGAGGCAGTGAGACAGGCACAAGCATTCTTCACCACAATGTAGAATCTAACCATGCTTTGCAATCAGGCCTCCTCTATTACTGACGGTTTCTCTCTTTCACTCTGTAAATAATGCAAGGAAACATGTTGGTAGAGGTCACAGTGACCTACACTACCCACCAGTGTTCATTATGTTCTGGCGCAGTTTAAAAAATTATTCAATGACCACATTGACAAGGCATTGAAATTTTTTGAAAGCATTAGACCTGCTACAAATTTTCAGTATTGATTCATCCGCAGACTGTTTTCTCAATTAAATAATGACCTATAAAATGCCAAACAATAGAGAAATATCCCCATGACATTTTCCCATAGTCCTTGTTGACATCTTCAAATGTATATTTTTTTTCCGACTAACAGTCCAAACCCAAAGATATTCAGTTTATAATTACAAAAAACAGAGAAAATCAACAAATGCTCACTCTGGAGATCCTGCAACTAGACAACTTTTGGCATTTTTTCTCAAGAATAATTTAAACTGTCCATTTATTGGCGTATGTTTGTTGCAGAACGCCATCATAAATGAGACCATGTTTGTCTGCCTGTCTGCTTGTTTAGTGTTGTCTCAATGACCGATGCTAGCCTCTGATGCCTTTGTAATGACACGCTAGCACAATAATAACTGACTACTGCACTACACAAACATACACACAGAGCCCCGGCTTGAACTCACACACACACACACGCGCACACACGGCGGAATAACTGCCTTGAGGCACAAATATCATCTGACCTAAGCAGACTGACAGGCATGTCTCCCTGCTTTGAGAGTGATAAGTCTGACCGTAATAACTACAGTACGATGCTATAATTACAGCCACAGCTACAGTGACAATGATGATCCTCTAATAACCCATTCTGACCTGTTACACACCAAAAGTGACTATTAATGCGCATATACACAAACAAATGTGCACAGACAAGCAGGGCTTTTGTTACATACTTTAGTTGAAACTGGGAGCAACTTTCTGGAGGAAAATGGGAAGTGAAAGAAGAACAAGAGAGTCGAAGGAGTGAAAGATAAAGCTGAGCTGTAGCTGTAGCAGGCCTTATCTTAACACTTCAACCTGTCATTGGTTTATATATAGACTGGACTTCACCGTAGTGTTTCCAAATATGCCACAAATCTTCACCCTGACACTATGTGTGACTGGCAGGCTTTCTTATTACCCCGCACAAAGTTTTTGGTACTGAGCCCCTGTCCAAATAACTCAGGCAGGAGATACAGCCAGGCTGAAAATGAGCATGGCACAATGCCTTTCCCTCTAACGCTGGGTGTCACATTATCATGTGTGAGGTATGAATGTGCTTGACGCTCAGCCTTCAACACAAACACAACTAGACATGTTAAGTCGACCTGTTTGTCAGGCTCTAGAGGTCGTCTGGTATGAGAGCACCTTGCTGCGTCATGAGACTTGTCACAGAGCACAAAGTCAGGACCTTGGTGATCCTGATGTGCAATAACAGTAGCAACAACAGGCCCTGGCAGCTTATAGCAACTGTTGCTGTCTGAAAATCACATTCAAAAGGGGGACACAAGTGACAATAAAGAAAGAAGAAAGAAATGATGCCACTTTTAAATATTGGACATTTTCTGCATTGCTGAATTTTTTTGGTATTTAAGAACTGCTTGCAAAAATGTTAGAGATCATCAAGCAGAGATCTGTTGTACAGACAGCATGTCTCAGGGCCTGTAAGCAGCCCCAAATCAAATATTTTACACTGTGACATGCTCTCGCTCCTGCTCAGGGATGGGCTGCAGCATTCACATAAGCCTGCGCATTAGGTCACTGGGAAAGACTAACAACTGTCTGTTTGTTCCCATCACCAACTGGCCTTGTGTGTGTGTGTGTGTGTGTGTGTGTGTGTGTGTGTGTGTGTGTGTGAGAGAGAGAGAGAGAGAGAGAGCTTATCTGCTGCTCCCAACAAATTAAAAATATGACTGAAGGCTAAAGGACACATCCTATTCACATGTCTAGTTTTATAGCAAGTTTTAATTAAGGTTTATTGTGATTTTTACAACCACAGCTCTATAAATGAATTCAGTGAAAAGTCACCTAAATACAGCGTGAGTGTTAATTTATCATTTGCATCTTCCAGTGCTGGATGGGATGACACTTCATAGGAGCCAGGGAGGAATTCCTGCGGTTATAGACTATTCAATAAAGTGAGTCAATAACGGGAACTTTTAGTAAAACCGAGCATCAAACTCAACGTGTTTAGACAAGAAATGGTAGAGGGGGCGTAAAACCCCTCAACGAGAAACCGAGTTACCTTCATCCAGCAGCCGCTCCAGATGCGTAAAGATGCCGCTGAAGTTGGGCAGAGAGCTCATCACCTTCCTGTCGTTCATCAGCTGCATTAGATAGTCCGGGTTGGACTTGGGTCTCTCCTTCACCTCTGTCTCCCCGACCATGGCTTATGCTTTTGCAATTCTGAAGTGAACCTTGCAAGTTGAAAAAAAAACTTAAGGGGAAATCTGAAAAAAAGACACGCCCCGACAAGCGATTCGAGGACCCCGGGGGATTCCACCGGCCTCGACCCGCTGACCGCCTCTCTATGACCTGATCAAACTCAAATCTCAGCTCCGGTTAAATCGACTGTCCTTCGGTTAACGTTTCGTGTGTGCGCCCGCTGTTCTTCCAAACGGTCCCCTCCACTCGGTCCGATTCTCTCCAGAGTTTTAAAAGTTCCTTTTTGAGAGGAGTCTGGCTCTATTTGACACTTCAGGCGACACTTTTTACGCACTTCACGCACTTCTTTAACGGCATCAACAAGTGTCCTACGCGCCGGCTCCTCCGCTTGTGTCCGCCCAGTGTGTCGGTATTCTGCAGCGGGGATCGAGTCCCTATCATATGATTACAGTACAGCAGCACGAGTGGGCTGTCGGGAGCGCGCGGCGCGTTCCCGCTGTCAGAGGGGAGGAGGCTCGTGCTCGTGCCCCTCAGCAGCCCCACATAGCCCCCGCCTGTCTCTCACGCACAAACACACACACACAAAAGGACCCACGCACACACCTTACACCCACAGTATAACAATATAACAGCTCTAAATAGCATGTACACCTGTTGCGGTCCATCGCTTGTCCTGTGAAGTAGGCCCTAGGCCTATGTGTTTAATTGATTGATCCTCTTTCCAGGATAATAATAAAATAGCCTATAAGACTGACAGGGGCCATTCTGCATAATGACAATTTTTACTGTTAATACTTTTTGTACATTTCACTGATAATACTTTTGTAATTCTACTTTACATTTAAAATGCAGGACTTTTTTATTGTGTGGTGTGGCTACTTTTATGATCTGAAAACTTCTTTAGCACAAAACGCTCCTCTCCTGTTCACACCCTCCACATTCGGGACTTTTGTCAAAGGTCCTGAAATAATAAGAAGGTGTGATGTGTGCATTGGTTCTCTGTGGGTGGCTGCTCCTGAAATGTTATTGCAGAAGGAACAGATAGGTGAGAGGGTCTAAACTTAACTTGCTGTAAATCACACACACAGACGCGCACACACACACAGGCGAGACAGTATGGATGCCCATTTGTCAGGCGCTGCTGGCCTCCCACCTGGTTTCTCTCTTCTGTCCACTCCCATACTTTTGCGTTGTAAGACTAAACCTAAGATTGAGGCTGAGTGGGATGCAATGTGTGTGTGTGTGTGTGTATGTGTCAGTGCAGCAGGAATTGTAACGGGGCAGCAGTGTTGGTAATGGCTGGTCAGCTGGTATGGCGAGTATTCAGGGCGGGGGCAGTGCATTGTCCTCTCATAGTTCCAACAATGGCCCTCTGAGCAGGCCACACATCTACCAGTCACGGGCCTCTCTCTGCCTCTGCCTCTGCCTCTGCTTTTCTTTCTGTGTGCCATATTTATTCAGGCCATAGTGAAGTGTAGAGTGAGATGTGATACGTCCCTGACCTTTGGCTTGACACGTCAAGGTCAACCAGGAACCTCGGTTGATAGTAGATCATGTGTCATTCATTATTTCACAGTAAGGACATCACACCTTGCATGCTCATTATCACTTTAAACAATTTAAAAATGCCTCAGCTGTTGCGTATATTTATCGCTGCAGCTACTGTATGCATAATTAATAGCTCACATTGATTTATGAGTCACATTCTCGATGCATAGCTTTTTTAATCAATCTCCTGTATGATCTATTTAACTTACTAACTCCATTCATGTATCTGTATCTCATGTCAGTCTGAGACAACTAGTTGTTTATTTGATTGGTTGACCGACAAAGCATTAGTTGACAACAATTTTATCAATTAAACTGTAACATTCTTAGGCTAGGGGTCTCTCACATCCAAACAATAACAAAAGACATAGTTAGATGATGTCGTGAAGTAGTGTGGGATCATGGGAGCTGTTTCCTTCACCACCATTGCCTTCACTGCAGCCACCTTCTCCCAGTTAGGCATTCCTTCAATGTCAGGAGGTTTTTACCAGGAGCCCAATTATCTGCAGAAGTCTCCTCATCTTCAACACAAACGAACCAGTTAAATAAAACCAGTAAAAACACTGAATAAAGCAGTTTCATGTTAAAACAAAACTGTGACGCCATTTGGCGGACGCCGTGAGCCCACGTTTACTCAGCTTGTTTCTCTGATAACTTAAGATCCAGACATCTGATGAATAAAATCCTTTTTTATTTTATCAGAAAAATGTGTCATGTGTGGCAGACAACCATAATGCTGACATATGCTCAAAGGGGTTATGGCGCCACTGACAGACGACCAAATGATACGTTACCTTGATTAAAATTACGCTTCTGTGGGTTTGAAACTTGTTTTCAAACATTTTAGATAATGTAAGTACACAGCTCAACAAAATATATAACATAGGTCTAGTTGTTTTTATACATTTAATAAAGTTACATATAATTCCTTTAATTTATTTATTATGCATAAATAGTTAGTTGATTAGTCCATTAGTCGACTGACAGAAAGTTGATTTTGATAATTGATTATTCATTTAAGTAATTTATTAAGCAAATACCAGACATTCTTTAGTTTTAGCTTCTTAAATGTGAGGATTTGCTACTTTTCTCTGTTTTAAATCATTGTAAATAAAATCGTTTGGAGTTTTGGACTGATGGTATAGGGCACAACAAGTAAGACGTGACCTTGGGCTCTGGAAACATGTGATGGTATGTTTTGACTCTTTTCTGACATTTTATCTGCTAAATAATTAATCAGAAAAGTGATCAACACATCAATTTATGATGAAAATAATTATTTTTCCAGGTTTTATTCATTTTGTTTGGAGGGAGGATTCTGAGCAAGGTTTTGTCATCAGTAAAATGGGTCTTATCAAGGTGTTTACATATAAAGGGACTTTATGGAAATTGTTTCAGTTGTTGTTGTTTCTGTTCCAGTAGCATCAAGCTGAAGTTATACATTTCCTTTAAGATTTTCCAGCAGAGGAGAAGCCACCGCTGCACCATTAACATTGATGGAAAGACACCCTCTTGTGGACTTCTAATGTAACTGAAACTGTTCAGAGTGACAGGCTGTCAGGGACCCTAAGTGTTCATGCATGCCAGCAAATTTGTCAATGACACAAAGGAAGTTTAAAAAGACATTCTGAGTCAAAATAAAGTACATTTGAAGAGGCATAGTATTAAAGGTGGCTGCAGGAAATTATCAAAACAGCGGGAGCGTTGGTGAAATCACAGATTAGACTGCTATAGAAAAGAAAGTGAATCAGCTGGTAACCAAACTACATATATGATCACTGTTGGAGCTCTTCAGTGGATTAGATTCACACACAGTCAGTTTAATTTTTTATTTAATTAATTACCTGCAGCCACCAACAGAGAGCAGCAGAAGACATACAACACACAGGATGCTGTTGGAAGCTTGTTTGTGTTTGTTTCAGGGTAGTTGATAGATGTTGACTCTGTGTGTTGACTTTTCTGTGAGTAATAATTGTTTGGAAAGAAATCTGATGCAAGGTAGTATTTGGTTAATAATGTATTTTAAAAAGCTGTCTATTTTCTACAGATGTATCACTATCAAACAAAAGCAGCTCTGGCAGTAATTGAGAGGCTGTTTTGTCTCTCTGGACAAAACAAGTGTCTGTCACAAGGAACTATGACAATCAGAAGCCAAACTGACATTTAAACCAGTGTTGGAAAGTAACTACATTTACTAAAGTAACAGTATTTCCATTTTATACTACTTTATACTTTTCCACTACATTTCAGAGGCAAATATTGTACTTTTACCTGCACTACATTTATTTGACAGCTATAGTTACTTTTTAGATTAAGATTTTACAAACAAAACATACGATTGATGCATTGTTATAGATCAGACTGCTCAACAGTACATGAAACAGTAAAAATTTGCTCCACCTCTACTACAACATCAAAATACCACTTACAAATAAATAAATCAATAGTATAAGTACAATTATTTGTGGTGCTTTAAAGCTATTTGGATCCTAATACTCTTGTTTTACTTGAATGTACGACTTGTAATGGAGTACTTTTACAGTGTGGTATTGATACTGTAACCTGAGTAAATTATTTAAATACTTCTTCCACCACAGAGTGAAACTGCAAGCAGCCAGGGGAGGAAAGCAACTAAGTACATTTACTCAAATATTGTAATTAAGTACATACTTTACTTGAGTATTTCCATTTTCTGCTACTTTATATATACTCTTGCTAATATTTTAGTACTGTTACTTGAGTAAATTATTTAAATACTTCTTCCACCACTGATTGAAACTGCCAGTCCTTAAAAGTTTGAGCTGATCTTTGTGACATGTTCTTATTGTGACTTAGTGGGTTTGAAAAACACAATACTGATGACACAATTTATTTGTGTAGTAAGTCAAAGGTACTCAGGTATACAGTGGTAGAAAATAACAAAGTACATTTACTCAAGTACTATACTTAAGTACAGTTATAAAGTACTTGTACTTTACTTGAGTACTTCTATTCTATGTTATGTTCTACTTCTACTTCACTACATTTGAGAGTGAAATACTGTACTTTTAACTCCACTACATTCATTTGATAACCATAATAACTTTACTTAGTTACTTTAGAGATTAAAAATGTATACAAATACCTACAAACACTTAAAGCAATACGATGCATTGCTACAGACTATCGATATACTGTATATAAAATACTGGTATATAAAATAGTCACAATAAGCTCCGGTATTAAAATGTTGTTTACATGTTAAAGAATCCGCAATAAAAAATAATTTAATATTATGTAGTAATACAACACTGTCAACCATTCTGATACATAATGAATACTTGTACTTCAGTGGGATATTTAATGCAGGAATTGTACTTACAGTAATAGAGTACTTTTACACTGTGGTATTAGTACTAAGGAAAGAATCTGTTTACTTTGTTTGTACATATTACACAAATCTCCCTATTCCTGATTCCTTCTTTTACTCAAAACCAACCAACAGTTATTTTGTTGCATAGCATACATTGTCATCCTACCCGGACCATTACTTTCTCTTGTTTGTCTTTCTATCTCTGTCTTTCTGTGTCTCCGCCTGCATGACGTGAATCCTGCACCTCACCTGCTCACCTGGTTGAGGGGCTCATGCTAATCCAAAGCCGATTAGGCTTCTTATCTACTCAGCGCTGGTTATGTGCTTTGGTCCAATAAAAATACCACGTAGAGTTGGCCTCTTTACCTTTCCTGCTGACTCTTCTCAGTGCCCCCCGCCCCCCCCCCCCCCCTCCCCCAATCTGCTCTAAGTGAGTCACTCTGGCGTTGATATCATCCTCATTCCTCATGTCTGGCATTTACAGGATTCAGTTGCACATGCTTTGTAGGAGATTGTGTTTCAGGAGAATGGATAAACATTACCTTACTGCTGAAGGA